TTTCCAGTTGCCATGTGTACCAGTGTAGTTTGTTGTAGATCTTTGCTGTATTATCATAAACATATAAGGTTTTATTAAGTTGGATAGTGGCATTTGTGCTATTTTAAACTTAAAAAGGATTTTACTATTTTGTCTTTCAGTCCTGCCTTAATTTTGGTGTTTGCCCTGGGATCTTTCGGTTTGATTCTAGCATTGACTCTGAACAGACATAAGCATCCCCTTAACCTGTACCTGCTTTTTGCATTTGTGAGTATTTTGACCACATCTCTTCCTTTAATGTTTGTTCCTAAGTTCCAAGCATACTTAATGAATTGTATGTCCATATCTATGTAACAACAGCAAAACAAATACAGTTTTTTTTAATTCGTGTATTTTAGGAAATAAACTGTCATTTTATAGTTTTCTGTTATTTTGTTTCAAAGGTTTTTGGAGTCAATTTTAGTATATAGTGGCAAAACTAGTGGATTGGAATCAGATGACTTGATTTGGCTGCTGTCTAGTTCTGGGAACGTTGGCTGCTTTCTAGAACCAGGCTTCCTCCTTTTTCTCCTGAGGCTGGCGGGTTCCATTCGCTCACCGTTTGGTTAGCAGCTCAGCACTTAGCTACTGTACCACGAGGGCTCCTCCAACTGAAGTCAAGTCTTTTACTTCTCTTTCATGTAAAAATCGAGTGGCCTTTCTCTCTATTCTCCCTTCTATTGTTAGGTACCATCTGCATGTTTCCTGGTATGAGATAGCTCCCCACAGTCCACCCAGTTACCCCTTCAGAAAAATAAGAGTAAGAAGGGGAGGACAAGACTTTGTTTTTTGAGCATGATTTGGAAGCAGTACACTTTTGAGTGGTACACTCAGAACACATGGCCAGAATTAGCTCTTGGGAAGCTGAAAAACAGAATGTTTAATCTGAGCAGCAATATTTCCGGCCCAAAATTCTGTTACTAGGGAAGAAAGAGAAAGTGGATATCAGGGGACAGTTTCAAGATGCTGCCACACATAAAGAAGCCAGCAATCCTTGCTGTTGAGTGGTTCTCACTCATGTAGGACAGTGGTGATCTGCACATAGCTTCCAAGGCTGTCGGTCTCTCTGGGAGCAGACTGCCACTCCTTGCTCTCATGAAGCAAATGGTGTATTTGAACGGCTGACCTCTTGGTGTGCAGCTTAGCAGCTGTGCCATCAGGGCTCCACGCACCTAAATAAAATCAAAATCAAACCTACTGCCATCAGCGCCCTGCTGACTCATAGCAACCCTAGAGAAGGTTTCTGGGGCTGTGAGACCTTCGCAAAACAGCCTCGTTTTCCTCCCTCTGAGCAGTTCGGAAGTTTGACCTGTCAGCCTTGTAATGAACAGTCCAGTGCTTACCTGACAGCACCACTGAGTCTCTCTCATGCCTAAATAGTGCTGCTTAAGTATTTCATTTTTTCCTATATTTATTTGTGTGATATGTTTTATTATAAAGTACACATGATTTGTAGCTTCGCTTTTATTTGCATTAGAGAGTGTGAAAAATAGAATTCCCTGTATTACATGTAAATAATAAACTTCCTCTTACAGATATGAAAGGTCTGATAGGATTTAAAGAGTGATAGAGTCACAGCTAGCATCCAAATACCCTTACTTTGTGTAGCGAGGCCTCGTTTTCTCTATGGTTTCTCTCCCATGTCCCACCTAAGCCTGCCCTGAAGGTGAAATGAGATCATGCAGATGGAATCACATTGAACTAGTAATTAAAAAATTTGAGACAGTATAAATTTTATCTATATTGACGGGATTTTCATTTCTTTTTCTTAGACGTTGTTGGAAGCGCTGACTGTGGCCATTGTCGGTAAGCTGTAATTATACTACTGTATGCTAGGGTATCTGTTGAATGTGAGTACATCTCTAGTGTAAAAGGTGTTTGGAGCTAAAGCTTAGTATCATAGACTGTCATTTTTTAGAATGTGGCATAGAGGGAAAATTCATAAAATACTAGCAAAAAAGAAATGTTTACACGCTACACTGCTCAGTTTAGCATGGAATCAATGGAGAATAAGGAAAACAAGAGGAATAGAAAGCACTATTTCTTTTGTACTTATCCATTAAAAAAATTACAAGTAAAAGCAATCTTTTCCCTAATTTGAAGGGACTATATAGGAGCTAATAACATGTGTTTTGAGCCATAGACTTGGGCTCCATGAGATTAGCCTGGAAGAATCACCTGCATTGAACTGAGCTGCATGGAAAGTTAGGTCTTCACATGTTCTGACCTGGCACCATGAAAAGCAGTGGTCCTTTCTGTTTCTCTGCTTGGCGTTAAGGAGCCGTGGTGCTACAGTGGGTTGCGTTGGTCTGCTAAATGCAAGGTTGGAGGTTCAAGTCCACCTGCCGCTCTGCAGGAGGAAGATGAGACTGTGTGCTCCCAGATTGAGATTTAGAGACCATTGTGAACAGATCTACTTTGTCCTGTGGGCTTACTATAACTCAGAATCGACTTGATGGCAGTTAGCATGTTTGGTGTGAGGAAGGTGTTTCAAGGCAAATGCCTTGTATAATTACTGGATGTGCCCGTTGCAAAGTCTCAAGTGAACGTATCACTATTTATTCGGTCTTGATTTATTGGTTAATCCTGACTCCATAAAAGGTCAGTCAGCTATTATACTTAATAACAGTAAATTGTTCCTCCATATGGCCATTAGGGTTATCTCCTCCTTTTCATCATCACTATTGTTTTTACCCTTCTCTTCCAATGTTATTGAATGTGTGTATTCTGGTAATCCTGTCCCTTCTTTGATAAAAGGTCTGGTAATAACTACTAGAATAAGTAAAATGGAAATGTCTTAACCTCAAACCAATTATTATTGTTTATTTACTGTTATTTTTACCCTCAGGTGTATCTACTGACTCCTCCTCCCATGTGTGAGGAATGTATTGGAAGTGTTTGTTTCGGGTTAAGGAACTGGGAGTAGAAATACAAAGAGGGGTTCCTTTGAGAAATCCTGTTTCTCGCTGATTATAACATCCTTCTCTGCTTTTAATTGCATTCTGAAATTACTGACAGGGATCAAAATTGACTTCATGCTTTTTTTTTTTCTGTTTTCACCTTGCTGCTCCTATAGTGATATAAACAGAGACATTCTAATAATGAATCATTTAGAAATATAAATGACTTGGATAATTAAGCTCTTAAAACTACATTAAATGGTTTTGGTTTTAAAACCTTTTAAAAGGTTATACATTGTCTTTTGTTAAAATATTAAGCAATTGCATTACTATAGCCATAGTGAATCCAGAGCATCATTCCAGAATCACAGGAGGGAATTTGGCTATACATATTCATTACCAAGTACCAAGAAAATGCAGATTTGGATATAAAGAAGTTCAGCAAGGAGCCCTGTTGGCACAGGGAGTTTTAGTGTTGGACTTCTAGCTGCATGGTTGGTGGTTTGGCTGCATGGTGGGAGAAAGATGAGGCAGTCTACTTCCATAAAGAATTTGCAGCCTTGGGAACCCTAGGGCGTAGTAGTTCTCCTCGGTCCTTTAGTCAGATCAACTGACAAGCAGTGGGGGTTCCCTGTCCTCAGCAGAGTAGAGAAATGGTAGTCAGTCCCAGAAGGCATCAGTGTTTTTCTTGTTCAATTTTCTTGAGTGAGACTGGTGAACTGACCCACTAGGTTATTTCTAGAATAGGTGCTATAATCCAAGGATTCCCAGTTAGAATGATAACTGCTGATATGTAAGCCATAATGCACATCCACCACACGTGATAAGCTGTAGCTAAGATGGGAATGGTTGAAGAATCCTATCGCTACCATTCCTGACTGACTAGCTGTGCAGTTTTCTTGCCCTTGATTCCATTAGCTTACAACTGCGACTCCTTGTTTTATATGATTGCATTGTTTGGAGCCCCCGCATTGCATCATAGACATAGAGCAGTATTCAGGGCTGAATAAGGAATTGTTCCATAGTTATCCTTATTGGAAAAGTAGTACAGAAGAAAATATAAAGTATGTATTTCTATTACATATAAGAAAGAGCTGTTTCTTTTTTTAATGTCTGCATTTTTAATCAATATTTTCATTTTACAGTTACTTTCTATGATGTATATATTATTCTCCAAGCGTTTATACTGACCACTGCAGTATTTCTTGGCTTGACTGCATATACTCTACAATCTAAGAGAGACTTTAGCAAATTTGGAGCAGGGTAAGTTATATATTCTTGTCTATAATAGATGCGTGCATCTACAGTTAGTATCGAAGGCAATTTCCAGACTGCTAACTTTGATACTGACTTTTCAATGGCAGGCATGCAAGTGCATCTCTGTGAATACCAAAGCCAGGTGCTACTGTCTCCTAAAGCATAGGGGATGATGTATGACTGAGTCATTTTATTCCACCTTTCTGGTGAAAATGAAAGTAAAAAACACCAGCTTTCTAGAGATGGAGACTTGGATATTTTACGAGTGTGAAATTTACCTAAAATATTTAGGTCTTTGCCTTTGCATAAATGCCAACAAGACCACGTGCTTGTGGCCAAAGCAATTTCTCCCAAATGTTGAAGAACTTCTACAGGTCATCTGGATTGACCTGCATACTGCTTCCATTCAACAAATCTATGGAATGATCCTTTTTTTTACTGTAGTATAGTGGTATTCTGTTGCCCTCACCTGGTAGGAATGCATAGATTCCTTTCTAAGTTTCCAGTGGCTTCCTGTTGGCACATAATCACCCAGCCTCTTTCTGTTTTTTTTCTGCTACAACATTTAACAGTTTGCAATAGGCTAGCCATGCAAAGCATCCTTTCTTTCCTTATTTTTATGGTAATTCAGATGACCAGACTTCTTTATCATGTCAGACTAGAGTAGGTCCGCTGGTACTGACCGTATGTTGTCCAACCTGCTTAAATAGTTTAATTGGAATGGAGTGTGATTTCTAGATTTATGGGGGTGTGGGAGTGGGTGCTTCATACAAACTTTTGTGATGTATATGGTGACGGTTCATTCTTTTTTTTTTTATAAATCATTTTATTAGGGGCTCATACGACTCTTATCACAATCCATACATACATCAATTGTGTAAAGCGCATTTGTACATTCATTGCCCTCATCATTCTCAAAACATTTGCTTTCCACTTAAGCCCCCGGCATTAGGTGATGGTTCATTCTTTCCTTCCTCTTCCTAACCGACGTCCCTCCAGTTCTGTTCCCTCCAGTATATGCTCTAGAACGCCTGTCCCAGAACTCCTGCTCCAGCCAACAGCCTCCTCTCTGTGTCTGCCTCTTCATGACATAGGCTTGGTTTTTCTCTGTCCTCTCTGAATATCATCTTGTGTCTGCTTTTTGTATATTCTATCTGGGTTGTAGTTAGAGGGTAAGTTTGGCCCTTGTTACATACTCCCTTGTGACATGAAGTTGTAGATAAATGTATTTGGGCTCCCAGCTCCCATGTTTGATCACAAAGACTGATTTCTTAGTTATCTTCCATTACATAAGTATACTTTATCTGTAACAATTGAGTGGTAACTCATAAAATTATAGCAGCAGCAAATTTATGTGCATAAATTATTTTCTTTAAGACTTAAGGATAGACTACAGAGTGCTTGTGGGAACTCTGATAATGCCTGTTTTAGAATAGTTATGGTTTAAAATGCAATTGTTTCATTTGTTGGTGTATAATGTTCTAGGAATTGTATAGTTTTCTGAATTACAGTGCATCCAATGATTTTCTGCGTATTTTAGCATTTTCTTTGCTTCAATTAAAAACTTTAAAAATGATAACGCTTAACTAATTTTGTAAACCATAAAAACAATTAAAAAAAAACAATTATGGAATAAACAGCTGTACTTCCCATTTCCTAAAATACTAACTCCTCCAGATGGATATTGCATCGTCCTCATTGTATATTTATGAATTCTTACATTTTAATTATTCTTTGGCAAAAGTTTGGATGGATTCCTTTTTATAAGGCTCTTTGCTTTCTCAGATAATTTTGAGTGGACTCACAAAGTTTCCTATAGTGAATAATGTTCTAAATTATTAATACTTTGTTTTTATAGGCTGTTTACTGTTTTATGGATTTTGTGCTTATCCGGCTTCTTGCAGGTAAGTTGTTTCAGAACAGGAGCTTACAAATAATTCTGACTGTACCAATGCAGGTAATCCCTGACTTCTGACCCCATCAGAGGCGGTTCTGACATATGTCGAATACTTTTTTTTCCTTTCAGTTTTCAATATTATTGCTTTTTTTCTTAGTATCTTTATCGATCTGGTGTTTGTCTTTAAGGTTTGGAAACATTACATATCAATGTGCATACATACATAAAACATAAACTAATCATAAAAAATGTACTTCAGTGATGAAATTCACAACTAAGGGGTCTGATGGCATGGAGTGCTGAATAAGCTCGCACTTTATTGCCGGGACTGCGTCAAAGTTGGTTTCAATGCTGTGGCAATGTCGATGAGCCCATGGCCTGTACGATGTAGCTCTGTAAGCAGTAACTCATAAGACTGAACGTCTGCGATTAAGTGGCTGATAACGATGGCATCAGCCAAGTGCATGCTGCAACATTTTACATAGTACTTATTACAATTAGTGTGAAAAGAAAGAACAAAACAGATGGTCTGAGGTGTGGTTTTGATTTGGAATATGTTGTAAGTCAGGGACTACCTGTATAATAATCTCAAAAAAATGTATAATGTATGCTCTTATCATTGGAGACTTAGTTCTAATTATCTGGGATATTTATATATAATTGATTATAGAATAATCTCTATAAAATCAGAATCTTGTGTCAGTCAGCATTACTGATTTATAAAAGGATGAACAAATGAGTGAAGTCCCAAAGAAAGACCCTTACTAATAATTGCCAACCTCCTGGTGGCACATTTGACTATGAAAGAGAACTATATTTCTAAATAATATATATTGGAACACTGCTGTTGAAAGTCAGGTGAATAGTTTAAGGGGAGAAAAAGCAATTCATCATTCACTCGCCTAGCCAACCTTCCATCAAACTTTGTATTCATTGTTGTACTTGTATTCAATGTTGTGTGCGATATTAACTACATATACATATCTAGCGGCAGATCAGTACAGCAGGCCATTGAGTACTCTGATCGTTGTCCTCACACATAAACTTACGACTGTTGTCTGCAGTTGTTTTTCCATAGTGAGACAGTGGAGCTGGTGTTGGCTGCCGGCGGAGCCCTTCTTTTCTGCGGGTTCATCGTCTATGACACTCACTCGCTGATGCACAGGCTCTCGCCAGAAGAGTACATCCTGGCGGCCATCAGCCTCTACCTGGATATCATCAATCTGTTCCTGCACTTGTTACGATTCTTGGAAGCAGTCAATAAAAAGTGATTGAAAATAACATAGAAATTGCTACATTAAGTCTTGAAATTTGAGAGGTAAATAGCAATTACTTTAATGATCTTTATCTGGACAAATATCAAAATTCTATTAACTTTTTCCATCTTAACTTCCCACACATAGATTGAAGATTTTGCAATTCAAAAATAACTTCAAAGGCGGACAAGATTATCAGTTCCTCTCTGTCTACTGATTTTAAATTTTCCTTAATTAACATTAGATTTTATTATGATTTTAAAACACAAGTGAATTTACTATTATAAATTATATATTTCCTTTTACTAGAAGAATTTTATCTTACTTAGAAAAAATATAAAACAAATTCCACAGATCTCAGTATTGCATGAACTTTTAATGGTATTTCATATAGACTGTATAAAAAATAAAGGCTTAAAAATAAATAAAGACTTGCTTTAAAATGACATGACATATAAAATTTGATTTAAAATTTTTTTTTTAAGTACAGGTTTCATTTTTAACACTATATATTTAACCATAGTCTCATGTGGTTAGACCAAAAAGCCCTAACCTCACTGCCATCAAGTCAGTTCTGACTACAGTAACCCTGTAGGACAGTAGAACTGCCTTTTAGGGTTTCCAAGGTCTTGGGCCTCGACTCATACCTTCCCTCAATACAAGAACACTTTGTTCTAACAGATTGGCATTCTGTGATGTTCACCCCTCCACTCCCACCCCTACGTGATCGCTAAAGACAAAATGGGTGCATAAGCAGATGTGGTGAAGACAGAGGATGGTGCCCGGCTATTAAAAGATACAGTGTCTGGGGTCTTAAAGGCTTGAAGTTAAACAAGCAGCCACCCAATAGTGAAACAAGCTACATGGAAGAAGCACACCAGCTGGTGTGATCCTGAGGTGACAGTGAGACTGGGCATTGGAGAAGATTCATAACAAACAGTAAACAAAAAAAAAATGTATAGGTGAGAATGGAGGTGGGTCGGAGCGGAGACCCAAAGCCCACCTGTGAACAATGGAACTTCCCCCTCACAGAGGGGTTGCAGGGAGAGGATGAATCAGTCAGGGCGCAGTAGAGCACTAATGGGTCACGCAATATACCTCTGATCCCTTGAGGCCTCCTCACCCCCCACTATCATGACCCCAGTGCCACTTTTCACTCTGGACTGGACGGGAGCATGTACACAGGAATAGGCAAGAGATAAAGTTCACAACACATGGAACTCGGGAACAGGAATGGGAACAGAGATCCGAAAAGGCTAGGGGGCAGGGAGGGGCAGAGGTGGGGAGGGAGGGGTTAGTGATCGCAATGAATGGCACGTAACCATACCCCCCCAATCGGGGACGAACAACAGAAATCAGAGGGGAAGGGAGACTGGTTGGTGTGAGATTTGAAAATAATCAATAATCTATTAAGGGGCCATGAGGGTTGGGGGGGGTGCGGGGGGTGGAGGAGGGAGGGAAAAAGCTGATCCCAAGGGCTCAATGGAAAGTAAATGTCTAGAAAAGAATGATAGAATCTATGTACTAATATATTGGATACAGTTGACGTATGGATTGTAATGAATTACAAGAGCCCCCAATAAAGTGATGTTTAAAAATATAAAGTACAGTTTTCATTTTAAAACTAATATATATATATATAAAACCACAGTCTCGTGGTTAGACCAAAAAACCCTCCGCTCCCTGCCATGCAGTCCATTCTGACCTCTGGTAACCCCGCAGGGCAGAGGAGAACCACCTCTTAGGGTTTCCAAGGCTGTAATCTACAGAAACAGTGCCATGTCCTCCTATAGAGTGACTGGAGGATTCAAACCTTCGACCTTAAAATTGGCAGCTGAGTACTTTAACCGTCACGTCACCAAGGCTCCTCATGCTATGAGAGGAACCCCCAAATACTGTCCTTATACTTATTAGTGTCTTAGCTGTTTGTGTGTCATTAAATACGCACACACATTTTAAATATTTGGAAAATAGTGCTTTGTAGCTTCGTTTGTGTTGGAGCACGCAGCCTGCGAGATCAGTGTACCGACCACTGCAGCTTTGGCAGATTTTCCAACAAGCACCATTCCCCAGATAAATTGAAATAAAATCGGACTCCAGACTTAACATCCAGAGATTTTTAGTTGTAATTGTTAGCAGTGAATTGTTGAATGTCCAAAACTATCTTCTAGTAACCTAGCATCCTGCAGGAAACTATCAAGTAGATTCTATGCCTTCACCTGACAGGGAGCTTGGCTAAGTTACTTGTCTTTCCTTTGATCTTTTGCTTCATTTTTACAATAACTCTACTGTTAACCAGTTGGTTATTGTCTATAACATCTATCACTCATGGCGACCCTCTGTAAGGTTCCAAAGACTCGGAATCTTTAGGGAAGCAGACAGCCTCGTCTTTCTTCTGTGGAAGTGACAGCTGAGTCTAACTGTCCAACAGAACTGGATTTGGTATTTTAAAATTGGAAAACAGTGCCATTCTTTTCACTAAGTTATTTCCTGGTTTGGAAAATAGTTATTCTCATAAAAATAATGGCAATTCATCATTTTGTAATCGTAGAAATTTATCAGTTGATTTCTAATAATAGAATTTTTAAGATTGTAATGGGTTCTAAAGAAGTTTCAAAACCTTGTAGTGATGGTGGTAATAGTGGTGGTTGGATGTTGTCAAGTCAGTTTTGATTCAGAGACCCTGTGTACGACACCAAAATACTGTCATCCGCACAATTGTTACGATGGAGCCTATTGTTGCAGCCACTGTCAGCCCATCTCACCAAGGGTCTTCCTCTCTTTGCTGTTCCTCCACTGTACCAAGCATGCTGCCCTACCCCAGGGACTGGTCTCTCCTTACAACATGTCCAAAGTTTAAAACTAAGTAAATGTCACCATCCTTGCTTTCAAAGCGCATCCTACCTGTTCTTCAAAGACAGATTTCTGTGCTTCTAGCAGTTCATGTTACTTTCAATATCACGAGCAACCCTATAGTTCAAATGTGTCAGTTCTGCTGTCTTCCTTATTCAGTGTCCAACTTCCACATGTGTACTAAGTAGGGTGCATGTAACTGAGCCATGGTGTTTTCAATGGTCTCCTATGCATGTGAGACTTCTGGTATAATAAGAGTATTATATTTCATAAGTGGGCTACAGTTTTGCATTCTCCTATCAGTGTATTTTGTATGCGTTTTCCTGGGCTGTTGAAGTCATTCCTAGGTACATAGCTGTGGAAGGCTCACTGGACGGACGTGTGAGTTTGTTTAGACTGAGGAATGAGCATAGAGGGCATGTGCAGTTTCTATTTTTTTTTTTTTTAGCATAAATAGTGTCTGGTGTAGACCTTAGGAATCTGAAGAGGCGGTGGGGAAAAAACCAAACCCACTATCATTGTCAATTCCCACTCATGGCAACCCTATAGGACAAAGTAGCACTGCCCTCTGGCTTTCCGAGACTGTAACTTTTTTTTAAATCATTTTATTGGGTGCTCGTACAACTCATCACAATCCATACATCCATCCATTGTGTCAAGCACATTTGTACATTTGTTGCCATCATTTTCAAAACATTTTCTTTCTACTTAAACCTTTGGTATCAGCTTCCCACCCTCCCTCCCTCATGAACCCTTGATAATTTAGGGATTCTTTTTCATGTCACACTCACCAATGTCTCCCATCACCTACTTTTATGTTGTCCATCCCCCTGGGAGGGGGTTATAGGTAGATGTTTGTGATCGGTTCTGAGACTAACTCATCTTCCTCTTGAGGAGTGGTTGGTGGTTTTGTACTGCCTACCTTATGGGTAGCAGAGCAGTACATTACCCCTATGCTACTAGGGCTCCAAGAAGTGGAAATAGCAGGACTTAAAGCCACAGGCAACGCAATGTGTGAGAGACAAAGGCAGAACAGCCAGCGAGGAGGAAAATGAGGAACAGCAACATCTGAGCACTTCTGTAGTTAAGGAATGTACTTTGGGGAAAAGTCCACTAGGCCCTGTCTTGCTGAAAGTGAGGAGGACTTGAGGCACTTTCTGATGAAGAACAAAGATTGCAGCCTTCGGGGTGAATTACAACTGAATGTAAAGAAGACCAAAATCCTCATGCCTGGACCAATAGTTAACATGATAAATGGAGAAGATATTGAAGTTGTCGAGGATTGGTCATCCTGGAATTGCAATCAATATCATAGATAAGAGATCAAAGGACACATTGCATTGAGTAAATTTGTGCAAGACCCCTTTAGAGTGTTGAAAAGCAAGGATGTCATTTGGAGGAATAAAGTGCACCTGACTGCAAACCATGGTATCTTCCATTGCCTCATATGCCTGTGAAAATTGGACATTGAAGTTGGAAGACCAAAGAAGAATCAATGCATTTGAACTATTGTGTTAGACAACAATATGGAAAATACCATGGGCTGTGAAAAGAATAAGCCAATATGCCTTGGTACTGCCAGAAGGATCTTTAGAAGCGATGATGGTGACACCTTATCTGACATTCTTGTTACATGTTGTTGGGAGAGACCAGTTCTTGGAAAAGAGCATCATGCTCGGTGGGGGCAGAGAAGCGGTGAAAAAGATGATTCTGGACAAGATGGATTGACACAGTGGCTGCAACAATGGGCTCAAACATAACTGAGGATGGGGCAGGACTGGGTGGTGCTTCATTCTGTTGTACAGAAGGTGGTTGTGAGTTGGAACCGACTCACACCTGACGAGAATTCAGCTCTGATTCAGCCATCCGATGTTCAAAAGAAGGAAACGATGCTATGTCCTGCGTTATCCTCATAATTGTTATGTTTGAGCCAATTGCTGCAACAACTCTGTCCATCTCGGGCTCACCTTCTACTTTAACAAGCTCGATGTCCTTTTCTAGGAACTAGTGATTACACATTGGTCTGCTAGTCGCAAGGTTAGCAGTTCAAAACTGCCTGTTAGTCCATGCACCAAGTACAGACTCCACATGAGCACAATGATCCAGAATACCCACTATTCCCAATGCTATATATAGTTATGATCTACACAGTTGAATGCCTTTGTACAGGCAGTGAAACAAGTATATATCTTTCTGGTATTGTTTACTTTCAGCCAAGATTCATCTGAGGTCAACAATAATATCCCTTATTCAATGTCCTCTTCTGAATCCAACTTTATTATATAGCAGCTCCGATCAATGTACTGCCGCAACCATTTTAAAATGATCTTAAGCAAAATTTTGCTTAAATGTGATATTCATATTGTTTGATAATTTATGCATTCTTTTTGGCCACCTTCCTTTGGAATGGACACAAGTATAGATCTCTTCCAATATGTTGGCCAGGGAGCTATATTCCAAATTTCTTGGCATGGACTAACGAGTGCTTCCTGTGCTGCATCCATTTTGAAATATTTCAACGTATTCTGCAATTCCTTGGAGCCTAGTTTTTCCCTTATGCCTTCAGTGCAGGCTGAACTTCTTCCTTCGGTACCATTGGTTTTGGGTCATATGCTACTTCTTGAAATGGTTGAATGGTAACCAGATCTTTTTGGTACTTTCTGCCTTCTTTTGATCTTCCTGCACTGTTCAATATTTTGCCCACAGCATACTTAGTATTGTAACTCCAGATTTGGATTTTTTTTTTATTTAGTTCCTTTAGCTTGAAATATGCTGACTTTTGGCTTTTAATTCCAAGTCTCTGCACACTTCATTACAATGCTTTACTTTGTCTTCTCAAAGTTTTCTTGGAAATCTTTTGTCCAGCTTTTACTTCATTGTTTCTTCTATTCATGTAGCTTTCAGAGTCTCTTCTGTTTGTTTTCAGAGTCTCTTCTGACATCCACTTTGGTCTTTTCTGCCCGGTTTTTATTCTTTTTTTTTTAAATTAAATTTTAATCTTTCTCTAAAATTTTAAAATAAATTTATTAATTTAAATTAATAAATCACTTAAGCATAAAGTAATTAATCTTGAATTTTTAAATTCTGCTTTCTTCATGTATGATGTTCTTGATGTCATCCCATAACTCCCCAGATCTTCAGTTGTGAGTATTCAATGTGTCCAATCTGTTCTTCAGATGATATCTACAGTGTGGTGGGATATACCCAAGGCCATATATCTCATGGATTTGTTTTCAGTTTTCTCAGCTTCAACCTGAACATGCATATGAGTAATTAATTGATGGCCTGTTCCATCTGACCTTGTTTTGGTTGATAATGAGTTTCTCATTATATCTTCTCACAGATATAGTCAGTTTTATTTTTGTGCATTCCATCTTGGCAGAGTTCACATGTATAGTCATCACTTACATTGTTGAAAAAGCTATCTCCAATTTTATTTCTAGCACCAATGCCATATTTTCCAACTACTGAGCCTCTTTGTTTCCAGTTTTCACATTTCAATCACCAGCAATTATCAATACATCTTGACTGCGTGTCTGATCAATTTTTAAGAAGTTGGTAGAATTATTCAATTTATCATTGGCCTCAGTTGTTGGTGCATAAATTTGCACAATAGTTGTATTGGCTGGATTTCCTTGTTTGCAAGTGGGTATTATCCTATCACAAACAGCAGTGTACTTCAAGCTAGATCTTGAAATTTTATTTTTGATGATCAATGTGATGATGCCATTTCTGGAATAAGATTGTTGAACTCAAAATGGCCAGTACCAGCTCATTCACCTAATGCCTACGACAGCTACCTTTAGGCTTCCATTTCACTTTTGAAGACTTCCAATTGTCCTAGATTCTCACTTTGTACATTCCATCTCCTGATTATTAATGGATGTTTGCACTGTTTTCCCCTCATTTTGAGTTGTGCTCTGTCAGCAACTGAAGGTCCTGACAGCTTGCTCTACCCGCATCAGTAAGGTCAGCTCCAAAGAGGCAGAGCTTCCTCACTTGTTTGGAGTGCCTACCAACTTGGGGGCTCATCTTCTAGCACCGTGTCTATCTGCCAGTGCTTTGCTACAGTTCACAGGGATCATTGGCTCAATCCTGAGAAATGGACAGCCTAGCCCATCGTCTGTTCTTAGTGTGGAAGGTCTATTGAATGAAACCTGTCCACCATGGGAGACCCTGCTGGTATTTGAAATACAGGTGGCATAGTCTCCAGCAGTAAAGCAACATAAAGAAGACACCAACCACAGTAGGACAAACTGACAGACGAGTGGGGAGAGATTAAGTAGGTCATCACTAACAATTTCCTGCCTTTTGGTACACATTGTAGGTCTTAAATGTAGGTCTAAGAAATGGTACCGGGTAGCTAGAAGAGTATGCTTACAATGATAATGTAACAATGATGATGAGATCTAGCATTGGTCAATTAGGGAGCTCGGAAACATCTGGGACAATTGCTCATCCAAATCACAACTAAGTTTGGGAGCCAAAAATATGCCCCAGGCCTTAGTTCCAAGATCTATACTATTAAGCACATAAAAGGTTTGATGTTAACTGTCATAGGCTTAACAGTAGTTTACAGTAATTGGGTAAATAGACAACTGAATTAGTGTGATCATTTTACCATTTGAAACTTTCTCTAACGTGAAAAAATTTGGGGCAGGGGTGGGCAGGTAACAGCTTAGTTACGTCTGACAGACAACAAAGTACATATTTAGAGCGAACGGTTTACTAACTTAAAAATAGCTGTACGTGTACTCGTAAAACCATCATCTGGATTGGGAAAATCTTTGGGTGCAAATAAAAAATAAGTCTCCCGAATTGACTCGAAAGCACCGCGTCTGGATTTTTGGTTTCTCCCAATCCTGCATCGGGAAGAACGTGACTGTACAAGACTCGTCTACGGAAACCAGGAGTAGCGAGGCGACCGCTGAGGCTGCGTGTGAGATCAAAGGATCGGCTCTGAGCAGACAGGCAGGGTCCCCCGCCATTCAGCAGTCTGATTTAAACTTGTCTCCGGCTTCCCAGCATGGGGCCGGGGCGCAGGCGTACCGAGGCCGCGGACTGCTTCCCCCAAGCTCTAGCCCTCCCTCGCACCGACCCGCCTCTCCACGACGTCCGGGCGCCGCGGCTCCCGGCGTGCAGCGCGCCCGTGAGGGCGGGGCCTGCCCGGAAAGCGGAAGAGCAGTCACTTCCGCTTTGCGTGAGCTGCTTGTTGCACGTGCGCCTAGGACACTTGCCCAGGTGAGTCCAGAGTCCCTCTGCGTTCAGGGGCCATAGGACTTGGTGTTCGAGTCCGTTGCTTGTAGAGAATGCCACCTTCAAGCCTCGTCCCTCTCCGGGCCAAGTTTGGTCCTGAGACGCAGGCCTCCGTAAAGGGCGAGGGAATCCCGTGCGTTGAGCGGCGTCCCCGCCCCCCGGCTACTCTGCTCAGGTTAACCCCAGCCCTGACGTTGGTGGTTAGTTGTCAGATGGTTGTTAGGCGTTATTGAATTGGTTCCGAGTCATAGCCACCCCATGTGTGCATAGAGTTCAGGGTGTGTGTGACCTTTGGAAACAGACCACACACACCTCTGATCCGAGGCCCTTCTGGGTCGGCTCCGACTGCCACCTTTTCTGCTATTAGTCCGCGGCAGCTATTTTTGTGTTTGGCTCCTCCTTCGCAGCCCTTCTGTCTCACCTCTTCATGGGACATGGGCAGTTCCATGTGTACAGCGGGCAGCATACATCTGTCTGCTGGCGTCCGAAAAGTCTCTCAAGGAGTGTATTCAGTAAATACTATTCAGCAAATACTCGCATTTTTGTATGCTTTGTTATTGTTAAGTGCCGCCGAGTTGGTTCCAACTCACAACAACCCTCTGTATAAGAGAACGAAACACTGCCCCGTCCTGTGCCAACCCCACAATGCTCAAGTTTGAACCCATTGCTGCAGCCACCAACCATGTCGAGGCCGTGCCTTCCGACCCAAAGGGCTCCTTTATCCTTTACTTGTGTAAATGCGAGCCTTGGTGGTGTGTGGGGCTGTTTATGCACCGAGCTGCTAACTGCAAGGTCAGCCTTTCGAACCCACCAACTGTTCCCGCGAAGAGCTGTCTACCCCCAGAGTTCCAGTCTCAGAAACCCACAGCGGCACCTCTACCCTGCCCCATAAGGTTTCTTTGAGTTGGCATCGACTGGATGGCAGTGAGTTTGTATTTTTGGTTTTGGTGATGTAGTTAGTGTTGGGCTGCTAACTGAAAGGTCAGCAGCTTGAAACCACCAGCCTGCCCCTCACAGAGTTACAGTTTCGGAAACCTACAGAAGCAGTTCTATAGGGTCCCATACAGTCACTATGAATTGGAATCAACTCTGATGGCAGTGAGTATGTGCAAATTGCTAGGGAGCGGGCAGCTGTGAGCAAGATCTGCTTAGTTGAGACCTACTTAGCCCCAAATCCAACCGGAAACAGGAAAACTAGCTGATTTCACACTGTAGCACATATTGAAAAAGTAAACAGATGATGTGGTTATAATAAAGGGAGGCCAGCTTCCCACTGAGTCAGAGAAACCCTTTCTTAGCTAGTGAAGGATGAACCTTTGAATGAGCAAGGCCCAGGCAAAGGAAGAACCAGTGTTAAGCAGTGGAGGTGGACGTAATTTGTACTTTTCCCCTGTGTAACTGGATCTCAGGTGTGGTGGTGGAAAGTGAGGCGAGATGGAGTGAAAGGAGGAGGTAGGGCCTGGTCAAAAGCTTGACATGGTCCCAACTCTGAAATACTTGCACTGACGGCTTGTGTAGGAATTGGGACTGGGACTGAAGGTTGAACAAAAACACGAGACTTCAAATAGACAAATTTTAAATTGGGAGATGAATAATGAGGACGATGAAGATGGGAGAAATGTCAGGCTTAGGGGAAATCTTGATTGATTTGAGAGATGGTGTTTATAAAAACATTTCGTAAGCTGTAAGCTATTGTGCAAGGTTGTGATGTTCCTTCAATTTCTGAGAAGTGAAATTTCTGCAGCTTACAAGGAAACTCAAGGGGCTTTCTGAACTGGCTTGGTTTTCAGTTGCCAGTGGACACAGGAAAGTTTGATTTGATGTTGATATTTAGTGAATGTACACAGGACGTCCATCCTCACATGAATTGCACATAAGAACGTCATAAACCATGAACAAAGCGAAACACTGTACCTTTCCTTTGTAAAGTAAGCCATTAGCCTGGTTTTCCAATGCTTTTTGCCTTTCTAAATTTGGATCATAAATATGTATTTTTGTTAACTTTCTAGGTAAAACATGGCTAAAAGCTTACGGAGTAAGTGGAAAAGGAAAATGCGTGCTGAAAAGAGAAAAAAGAATGCCCCAAAGGAGCTCAACAGACTTAAAAACATTCTCAAAGTAGACGGTGATGCTTTAATGAAAGATGTTCAAGAGATAGCAACTGTTGTAGGGCCCACACGTTGCCAAGAGAAAATGGAGTGTGAGCTGAAAGAAGAAAAAGGTGAAGGTAGGTGTTTTGTTTACACACACACATGTACAAGGGGGCTTCCAAACGCTTCTGGGAAATTGAATTAAAAGACAATGGAATTTTCCCACGAACTTTTAAAAGCCCCATCGCATAAGGAGCCCTGATGGTTCAGTGTTTAACCACTCAGCTGCTAACCAGAGGTCACAGGTCTCAGCCTCCGAACCACTCTTTCGAAGAACGATGTAGCAGTTGCTTCTGGAGAGATTACTGCCTTGAAAACCATGTAGGGCAGTTCGACTCTGGATTGACAACAGAGGCTGCAACAGTGAACCCAACCAAGGCCATTGTGAAATTGTGAGGATGGTGCGTGAACGAGCAGCGTTTCAAACACCTGCTCTCCATAAGGTTGGACTCGGCTCCAGGACACCCAACAGCACTGTCTTAGGTGGTTACTTTGAGTGAGAATCAGCTGGACAGCAGTGGGGGTGCAGTGTGTGTGTGTGTGTAAAATTCTCTTATTTTCATTTTGTTGACTTTTCCTCGTTTTGACTTTGTTTTACCCCCATGCAAGCCGTGTCCTGCCATGCCCACGTTTTTCTTCTATCCTGACCTACTTTAAAGTCAGTTTGTGTGACTACCCAATTTTGGATCATTCCAGGTGGGCTTTGGTGGTTGCCTAAAGTCATAGGTACTGTAGGAATAGACAAACCCAGATACGCCATGGTTGGCAGAGTTCACATGTATAGTCATCACTTACATTGTTGAAAAAGCTATCTCCAATTTTATTTCTAGCACCAATGCCATATTTTCCAACTACTGAGCCTCTTTGTTTCCAGTTTTCACATTTCAATCACCAGCAATTATCAATACATCTTGACTGCGTGTCTGATCAATTTTTAAGAAGTTGGTAGAATTATTCAATTTATCATTGGCCTCAGTTGTTGGTGCATAAATTTGCACAATAGTTGTATTGGCTGGATTTCCTTGTTTGCAAGTGGGTATTATCCTATCACAAACAGCAGTGTACTTCAAGCTAGATCTTGAAATTTTATTTTTGATGATCAATGTGATGATGCCATTTCTGGAATAAGATTGTTGAACTCAAAATGGCCAGTACCAGCTCATTCACCTAATGCCTACGACAGCTACCTTTAGGCTTCCATTTCACTTTTGAAGACTTCCAATTGTCCTAGATTCTCACTTTGTACATTCCATCTCCTGATTATTAATGGATGTTTGCACTGTTTTCCCCTCATTTTGAGTTGTGCTCTGTCAGCAACTGAAGGTCCTGACAGCTTGCTCTACCCGCATCAGTAAGGTCAGCTCCAAAGAGGCAGAGCTTCCTCACTTGTTTGGAGTGCCTACCAACTTGGGGGCTCATCTTCTAGCACCGTGTCTATCTGCCAGTGCTTTGCTACAGTTCACAGGGATCATTGGCTCAATCCTGAGAAATGGACAGCCTAGCCCATCGTCTGTTCTTAGTGTGGAAGGTCTATTGAATGAAACCTGTCCACCATGGGAGACCCTGCTGGTATTTGAAATACAGGTGGCATAGTCTCCAGCAGTAAAGCAACATAAAGAAGACACCAACCACAGTAGGACAAACTGACAGACGAGTGGGGAGAGATTAAGTAGGTCATCACTAACAATTTCCTGCCTTTTGGTACACATTGTAGGTCTTAAATGTAGGTCTAAGAAATGGTACCGGGTAGCTAGAAGAGTATGCTTACAATGATAATGTAACAATGATGATGAGATCTAGCATTGGTCAATTAGGGAGCTCGGAAACATCTGGGACAATTGCTCATCCAAATCACAACTAAGTTTGGGAGCCAAAAATATGCCCCAGGCCTTAGTTCCAAGATCTATACTATTAAGCACATAAAAGGTTTGATGTTAACTGTCATAGGCTTAACAGTAGTTTACAGTAATTGGGTAAATAGACAACTGAATTAGTGTGATCATTTTACCATTTGAAACTTTCTCTAACGTGAAAAAATTTGGGGCAGGGGTGGGCAGGTAACAGCTTAGTTACGTCTGACAGACAACAAAGTACATATTTAGAGCGAACGGTTTACTAACTTAAAAATAGCTGTACGTGTACTCGTAAAACCATCATCTGGATTGGGAAAATCTTTGGGTGCAAATAAAAAATAAGTCTCCCGAATTGACTCGAAAGCACCGCGTCTGGATTTTTGGTTTCTCCCAATCCTGCATCGGGAAGAACGTGACTGTACAAGACTCGTCTACGGAAACCAGGAGTAGCGAGGCGACCGCTGAGGCTGCGTGTGAGATCAAAGGATCGGCTCTGAGCAGACAGGCAGGGTCCCCCGCCATTCAGCAGTCTGATTTAAACTTGTCTCCGGCTTCCCAGCATGGGGCCGGGGCGCAGGCGTACCGAGGCCGCGGACTGCTTCCCCCAAGCTCTAGCCCTCCCTCGCACCGACCCGCCTCTCCACGACGTCCGGGCGCCGCGGCTCCCGGCGTGCAGCGCGCCCGTGAGGGCGGGGCCTGCCCGGAAAGCGGAAGAGCAGTCACTTCCGCTTTGCGTGAGCTGCTTGTTGCACGTGCGCCTAGGACACTTGCCCAGGTGAGTCCAGAGTCCCTCTGCGTTCAGGGGCCATAGGACTTGGTGTTCGAGTCCGTTGCTTGTAGAGAATGCCACCTTCAAGCCTCGTCCCTCTCCGGGCCAAGTTTGGTCCTGAGACGCAGGCCTCCGTAAAGGGCGAGGGAATCCCGTGCGTTGAGCGGCGTCCCCGCCCCCCGGCTACTCTGCTCAGGTTAACCCCAGCCCTGACGTTGGTGGTTAGTTGTCAGATGGTTGTTAGGCGTTATTGAATTGGTTCCGAGTCATAGCCACCCCATGTGTGCATAGAGTTCAGGGTGTGTGTGACCTTTGGAAACAGACCACACACACCTCTGATCCGAGGCCCTTCTGGGTCGGCTCCGACTGCCACCTTTTCTGCTATTAGTCCGCGGCAGCTATTTTTGTGTTTGGCTCCTCCTTCGCAGCCCTTCTGTCTCACCTCTTCATGGGACATGGGCAGTTCCATGTGTACAGCGGGCAGCATACATCTGTCTGCTGGC